TGAGTTGCCCAATATGGGTGCTGGGAACCAAGCTTAGGTGCTCTGCAGAGTAGTAAGTACTCTTTACTGAGCCATCTCTCCAGTCCTCTAGCAAGCTTTTTTTTTTTTAAGGTAAAAAGGGACAAATATAGTGGTACACCCGTTCAATCCCAGCACTTGGGAGCTAGAGATGAACAGATCTCTGTGAGTTTGCGGACAGTCTGGTCTACACAGTGAGTTCCAGGCCAGTGAGAGGGCTCAGCAGGTGACAGGATTGGGTACCAAGCCTGCTGACTCGAGTGTGATCCCCAGAGTCTACAGGGTAGAGAGAACAGACCCCTGCGAGTTGTTCTCTGACCTCCACACATATACACATACATTCACAAAGCCTGCTAAAACAGCCCTGCATGGCAGCACTTGGGAAACTGAGGCAGAAAGGTTACTACTCTTAGTTTAGGGCTAGCCTGGCAACAGTGTGAACTCTTGTTTCAGTAAAACAAAGCTAATACAATAAACTTCAGTTAGGAAGGTATCTCCCCTGTGATCCCAACCTTCTGAACTACATACAAATAAACAAACAAAACCAAACAAAAAAAGACTTGCTACACTGTATTAACATTTTTTTTAATATTTATTTATTTATTCATTGTGTATACAATATTCTTTCTGCGTGTATGCCTGAAGGCCAGAAGAGGGCACCAGACCTCATTACAGATGGTTGTGAGCCACCATGTGGTTGCTGGGAATTGAACTCAGGACCTTCGGAAGAGCAGACAATGCTCTTAACCGCTGAGCCATCTCTCCAGCCCTGTATTAACATTTTTAAAGATGAGGTAAATTAAGTCTTCCTGCTTGCTGGGGGAGTTAGGAGGAGGCACTTGAATTTTTAAAGTTTCATCTACTGATTTACTATGGGGTGTGCCACAGTGAACATGTGCGGAGGTCAGAGAGCAACTTTCAGCTGATTTGGGGGAGACTTATTTCTGAGCCCTTTGTCAAGTCCTTGCCTCAAAGGATCTTAACCTGCTGGGGCCCTTCCCTGCAAGCCTTGGGGCTGACAGGGGCTCACTTCAAAGGGTTAAGAACAATGAGCGGAACATGGCTTCCCCTAGTATCTCTCCAAACACAACACCCAGTATCTCCTCCCTCTCCTGGAGACTGGGGGCCTCAGCAGCAGCTCTAAAGACAATAAAAGTGTGTCACTATTATTATTCCCAACAGCATGCCCTGTCTGAGGACTAGGGCCAGGGTTGTGTTGTTAAAGGGTAGAAAGTCCAGTGGAGACATCCACAAAATACCAGAGTACACGACAGACACAACCCCCAGAAGCCACGAGCCTGTTCATGCTGGACCTCTCAACACTCTGTCCTTGTCTTGTTGCTGTATGTGCGCCTGAGTATGTGCTCATGTTGCGTGTGGTGCATGCGTCCAGAGACTAGAGGAAGACACCAAACCTAGGGCTTGCTACTCTTCAGCTAGGTTGATGGCCAACAAGCCATAGTACTCTGTCTGTCCCACCGACCCCAGCGCTGCAGCCATGTGCACTTAGCCAGGTGAGCACTGAGGACCCACACTCAGGTCCTTTATCCGCTGAGCCATTTCTGTATCCCCCAGCTCCAGTGTCTATGCAGCCCAGACTGGTCCTGCAGGTACTGTGTGGCTGCCTTAGGGTTTTCTGCTGCTGGGAAGAGACACTATGACCATGACAACAGCTCTAAGGGAAACATTTAACTGAGGTGGCTCGCTTAGTTTCAGAGGTTCAGTCCACTATGACCATGACAGGGAGCATGGCAGCATGTGGACAGATGTGGTGCTAGAGCTGAGAGTCCTACATCTTGGCTTGCAGGCAACAGGAAGTTGACTGAGACACTGGGTGGTATCCTGAGCATAGGAAACCTCAGTGCCCACCCCCACAGTGACACACTTCCTCCAACAAAGCCATACCCACTCCAACAAAGTCACACCTCCTAATAGTGCCACTCCCTGAGATGATGGGGCAATTACATTTCAACTACCACCACAGTAGCTAAGCTAGCCCCAAACTCACAAGTGTGAGACTACAGGTGTGCTCCACCTTAGCTCCCTTCTCATCTCACTCTCACATGTTTCATGGTGGAAGGAAAAACTCAACTCCTAAAGGTGTTCTCTGACCTCTACACACACACACACACACACACACACACACACAGGCACATGCACAACTCACACATATACATACACACAAAATAAATAAATGTAAAGAATGCTTTAAGATATAATTGTAGCCTCCCAAGTAAAAACAGCAGCCTTCAGTTTGAATTCTAAACAGCTGGATGAACTCCAATTCTCTTCCCATTGAGACAGGGTCTCACTGTGTAGCCCAAAGTGGCCTACAATTTCCTAGAGTCTAGACTGCCCTTAAATTTACAGAATCCTCCTGCTTTAGCTCCCTGAGTGCTGTAATTACGAGTGGGAGCTATTCTATCTGACGCAACTTCTTTCCTAAAAAACTTAGTGCGGCCGGGTGTGCTGACACACACTTGGTGCACATCACAGTGCCTGGGGGGCTGAGGCGGGAGAAGAGTGGGCTCAAGAACAGATTGAGATTCAAAGGAAGATGCTGTCTCAAGTAACAAAACATGGAAACAAAAGCCAGGTCAGTGGATGGCTCATAGCGTAAAGGTTACCAAGACCGACAAATCAGTTCTGTCCCTGGAAACCACAAGGTGGAAGAAGAGAACCAACTCCCAAAAGTTGACCTCCACACAAGCTCACACCCACACCTCCTCACAACAAATAAATAAGTAAGTAAATAAATAAATAGAATTTAGAAATTAAAATGGGGCTGGAGAGATGGCTCAGTAGATAAGAATACTTGTTGCTACTGCAGAGGACTGGGCTCAATTCCCAGGAAAGTCCATTGTGAGCCCCAGGGGAGCCAACAGGCATGCACATGTTCATCTATACATATGCAGGCAAAATGTTCATACATATAAAGTAAAACCAAATAATTTAAAAAAATAAGCCTAGTTAAAACATCAAATAGAGGGCTGCTGTCTTAGTTAGGGTGTTTATTGCTGTGGAGAGACACCATGACCATGGCAACTCTTATAAATTGGGGGGCGGGTAGGGCTGGCTTACAGTTCAGAGGTTCAGTCCATTATCACCATGGAGGGGAGCATGGCTGCATGCAGGCAGATATGGTGCTGGAGGAATAGCTGAGAGTCATCTTGCAGGCAAGAGGAAGTCAACTCAGAGTCACACTGAGGGACACTTGAGCAAAAGGACTTCAAAGCCCACCTCCACAGTGACACACTTTCTCCAACAAGGTGACACCTCACCTCTTAATGTGCCATGGACCATTTTCTTTCAAACCACCACAGCTGGTGAGATGGTGCAGTGTTAAGAGTACTCAGTGTTCTTCCAGGAGGACCAGGGTTCAGTTCCTAGCATCCACACAGGCAGCTCACTGAGCTGCAGTGGATGCTAGAGCCATTTAGGACAGAGTTCAGGCTCAGGTAGACCATCTGAACTCATGATGATCTCAGTACACAGGAGCCAGACGCCATGATCCTACTGACACCAACCACGACTCTATACGGCAAGTTCTAAGTACCAGTTATGATGGGTTTACCAAATAACTGAATGAATGGCTTTAGGTGCTTATACGGAACTTCCCATAGGAACAGTGATCACACAGAGAGAATCAATCATGCAAATCCTGGAGTGTATAGATCACAGACAATAAAAACTTGCTTTCTCCAACTAATCAATGTCCGAAAAAATGGGGGTGTTGTATAAGAACGAGGGGAAGAAGGTGTTGTGGAGTAAAGACATTCATGGCATAAGAGTCAAACCCAAAGCCAATGGGATCATGCCACCATCTGTCTCCAGACCCGCTGAGCCCTGCGCACACCTCTGGCTGCACCTCTCACCCAGTCCCCTGGGTTCCAGCCACATCTCTGGGTCCCCTGGATTAGCTCAGTGCTTCAGTTCAGCTCCTCGCAGGTACTTCCCCTGCCCTGGATGCTGTCCTCCCACCTTCCCTGCTCCACCATTCTGTCTCAGCAGCAGAGACAGCCCGGCCCTGGACCAGGGTATGGGATTTGGTCCTTCTAGTTATTCACTCATACTGTACCTTGTGCTTCTAATAAAAGAAAAAAAATTTTTTTTTTCTGAGACAGAGGCTTCTTTGTATAGTCTTGACTATCCTGGAACCACTCTCTAGGCTGGCCTTGAACTCACAGAGATCTGCCTGCTTCTGCCTCCAGAATGCTGAGATTAAAGGTATGCATCACCACTGCCAGGCTCATAAAAGCAAATTTATTGCTTTTCATTCCCAACGTTGGGAGACAGGATCTTACTACACAGCCCAGACTGGCCTTGAATTCACAACTCTCTTGCCTTGGTCTCTGAAGAGCTTGGTCTACAGGCACCATCACTAAGAACTGCTTTATCTCTGCATCCCTCCCAAAAACAAGACGCTCCTTGAAGGAGAGGGCACCTTTTTTTTTTTAGCCATCTGACAGGAGCTAACAAGAGTCTAAACAGAAGCCAAGGGTGATGGCTCACACTTGTAATCCCAGGAGGCTGAGATTTGCCTTAAGCCTAAAGACAGCTAGAATCTATATCAAAACAAAATAAAGAAACAGAAACCTAGCATTCAGGACTCGGAGATACTGAGTTTGGGGCCAGTCTTAGGTTATACAATAAGACCTGAGTCAAAAAAAAAAATCAATATAAAAAAGACCTGAGCAGGGTAGTGGTGGTGCATACCTTTAATCCCAACACTCGGGAGGCAAGGCAGGCAGATCTCTGTGAGTTCAAGGCCAGCTTGGTCTAAAAAAGCTAGTTCCAGGATAGGCTTCAAAGCTACAGAGGAACCCTGTCTCAAAAAAAAAAAAAGTTTAATCCCAATCCAGAGACCTACTAACTTGATAAGGGCCAGCACAGTCCCTGCTGATCTTATGTTGTGGTGATGTCTGCTGGTACAAGAATCTAGTCTGACATTCAGAAAGATGAGATCCTAGGGAAGGACTCACCGTGTCGTGGGACTTGGGAATGGGTACGATGATGGCCAAGACACAGATAAGCTGGAAGATGGCTCCCAGGAAGAGCCCATACCGCAGTAGGTTCTCCAGAAAGGTGGGCTCGGGCACCTCAGGAGGTGAGAAGTCCAGGTCAGAGGCCATGACCCAAGTCACCACTGCCAGGGGCCTCTTGAGAGTCACACTTCTCCAGAACCAAATTCTAAATGAAAAGAATGAATGTCAGTGTTTTAGGTAGGGTTTCTATTGCTGGGATGAGACACCATGACCATGGCGACTCTTATACAGGAAACATCCAACTGTGGTGGCTTGTTTACTGTAGTCAGAGGCTGTTTGTTTGTTCCCGACCACTCAGCCCCGAAATAGCCACACAGAAACTATATTATTTGCAATAATGTTTGACCAATAGCTTAAGCATATTTCTAGCTAACTCTTATATCCTAAACTAACCCACCTCCATTAATCTGTGCATCACCACGAAGTCATGGCCTACCGGCAAAGTTTCGGTAAGCTCCAGCTGAGGCATCTGTCTCCTATGGTGGCTACGTGGCTTTTCCCTGACTCCGCCTTCTTTCCTCCTCTATCTGCTTGGAGTTCCTGACTTGTTCTATTCTGCTAAGCCACGGGCTGAAACAGTTTTATTCACTAACCAATAAAAGTAACACAAATACAGAAGGACTTCTCATACCAGCTTACAGTTCAGAGGTTTAGTCAATTACCGTCATGGTGGGAAGCAAGGCAGCATGCAGGCAGACATGGTGCTAGAGAAGGAGCTGAGAGTTCTTACAACCTGACTCATAGGCAACAGGAAGCGGTCTGAGACACTAGGCTGTAATGAGACCTCAAAACTCACCTCCACAGTGACACACTTCTTCTAAGGCCACACCTCCTAATAGTGCCACTCCCTTTGGGGGCCATTTCTTTCACACCCCACAGTCTGGTTTCTTTTTTTCTTCCTTCCTTCCTTCTTTCCTTTCTTTCTTTCTTTTTTTTTTTTTTTTTTTTTTGTTTGTTTTTTGCTGTTCAAGATAGGGTTTTTCTGTATAACAGCTCTGGCTGTCCTGGAACTTGTTTTGAAGATCATCTTGGTCTCAAATTCATGGAGATCCACCTGCCCCTGCCTCCCAAGTGCTGAGATTAAAGATGTGCCACCACTACCCGGCTGAATGTCAGGTTTCTATGTGTGATCTTTAAATGCCCTCCCATACCACGCATACATGAATGGACAAAATATGAAGCAACTTAGCTTAGTGTAAACAATTCTTGAATCCAATTAGAGAATATATGCACATTTTTCAATTTTTAAAATTTTTTATGTTTTCCAAATATAAAGCTAATAAAATAAGCAAATGCAAAACCCCCCAAGCAATGCATTTACTAAAGACTCAAACATTTCTGTGTTTTCTTTTCCTCTTTCCTTTTTGTTTCTTTCTCTCTCTCTCTCTTTTAAATATTTCAAGACAAGGTTTCTCTATAGCTCTGGAACCTGTCCTGGAACTCACTCTGTAGACCAGCCTGGCCTCGAACTCACAGAGATCCACCTGCCTCTGCCTCCTGAGTGCTGGGATTGAAAGTGTGTGCCACCACCACCCAGTCTGTTTTGCTTTTGAGACAGTGTCTCATTCATCGTGGGCTGGCCTGGAGCTTGCTATTAACCCAGGATGAGCATGAATTCCTGATTCTCCTGCCTCCACCTTCCAAGTGCTGGAATGACAGGCTTTCATCTTTATTCCCAGTTTACTTAGTGCTGGGGCTGGAACCCAGGGACCCATGAAAGTGGAGTAAGCACTCTACCCATCTGATTTTGTTTATTCATTCACTTAGTCACATAGCACTTAAGGATACCAAAGGCTGAAGAAAGAAATACATACAAATGCCTGTATTCAGAGCTCTGCTCCAAATGAGGCAGTGACCATGGAGACAAGCTGTATGGAGAGAGAAAACTGTTCCAGAGAAGACATTTAAGAAAGGGACCTTGTGCTCTTGTATGGGGTAGGAGGGGAGGCCTCTGCGAATGTGGCAGGGCTTCAGCAACAGACTGGAGCGGCCACACTTGTCATTTGAAGGATGATGCACACTGTGCATAGATAGAAAAGGAAATGTGGAGACCCCTGGATGGGAAAGGGGACACAAACACTGAGTGGTCAGGAGGGAAACTGGAAGCTGGTGAGATGGGCTGGGAGCACGAGCAAACCTTGGAAGACCCAGACCTTCTTGATTTGACCAAGTAAAAAGTAAAGCGGAGGTGACAAGATCTAAATTACTTTTTGATGCTGTTATTTTACTTATTTATTTACTTTTTGTTTATTTGTTTTTATTTTCTGAGACATAGTCTCTTTATGTAGTCCTGGCTGTCCCGGACCTCATTATCTAGACCAGGTTGGCCTTGCACTCAGAGAGAGCTACCTACTTTTGCCCCCCAAGTGCTGGGACTAAGGGTGTGTGCCATCACCCAGCCTGTTATTTTGAGAGAGGAATACAGTCTGCTCTAACTCAAGAAACCCTCCTGCCTCTCAGTCTCCCACATGCTGGCATGCAGAGATGTGCACCACCATCCCAGCTCTAAACCAGAAGTTTGAATGGAGAGGCCAAGAAGATGCATGAAAACCTAGCCCACACAAGAAAGTTGGTGGGTGGCTGGAGAGATGGCTAGAGAGATAGCTCTGTTCTTCCAGCGGTCCTGAGTTCAGCTCCCAGCAACCACATGGTGGCTCACAACCATCTATAATGAGATCTGATGTCCTTTTCCAGCATACATGCAGGCAGAACACCATATACATAATAAATAAATCTTATTATTATTATTATTTTTTCTGAGACAGGATTTCTCTGTGTAACAGCCCTCCCTGGCTGTCCTGGAAATCTCTCTGTAGATCAGGCTGGCCTCGAGCTCACAGAGATCCACCTGCCTCTGCTCCCCAAATGCTGTGATTATAGGCGTGTACCACTACCACCCAGCTTTAAATTAAAAAAAAAAAAAACTTAAAAAAAAAAGGAGGTTGGTGGATAGGCAGAAGGGGGGCAGTCAGGCCTTAGCCTACCTCTCTTCTCACCAGCCTATTTCATTCTCTTTTCTTTCTTTTCAGATAGGGTTTCTTTATATAATGGCTCTGACTGTCCTGGGACTCTCTCTGTAGAGCAGGCTGGTCTCAAAGTCAGATATCTGCTTGTGTCTCTGAGTGGAAGGACTAAGGGTGTGTGCCACACCGCCTGGCTCTCGCCCCTTCTTAATCCCTTGGTAAAGCTGGAAGAACTGCCTGTGGTTCTCCAGGAGCACCTGAGTCTTTCCAACCCCGAGCCACCCATGAAGCTCCCATCTGCCCAGGACAGCCTCCCACCATGACTGCTGCTCAGCGCCCTACTCGACCTCCAAGCCTGAGTGCAAGGCCTCCCATCATGTCTCTGTGCTGCCCTCCTCCTTAGCTGCTTCTTCATCGTGGTACCTACAAGTGGCATCCTTCTGCCACTCTAACAATAAAGAGACCAGTGTACTGTGGCATTAGCGGCACCTGAATGACAGCCTTCATGCTTTCAGAGAGAGAACTGTGCCATACGGTGTGATTTCCAGCTGATTCTGAGAGACCCAGTATGGTGCTCACGGGCCGCACGTGGCCCCGAATGCAGCTGGTCTGAACTGCAGTGACAGATAAAACCAGACCTAACTCCAAGACTTCTTATGAAAAAATGTAAAATATCTCATTAGCAATGCTTTATGTTGATTATATGCTGAAACATATTGTTAAATTACTAAAATTACTTATTTTATGACGTCAAAACCTACTAGAAAGCTAAGGTGGCCAAAAAGGAGAGCTACTGACGTGAGAACAGATGTGCAGGCCAATGGGATAGAGAGCTCCAAATAAGCACCTACTCCTAAGAGAGGGCGGCTTTTAAACGGTGCTAGGAAACTGAGCGTCCACACGCAAAAGCAACAAAAGAAGCTGAACGGGACCCTTGTACCCTACACAAAGATTAGTTCGCATTGACCCAAGATCTAAAAATATGAGCACAAACTATAAAACTGTTAGAGAAATCTGGGGGAAATTGCTACAATACTGGATTTGGCAATGTTTTCTCAGATGTGACATCAAAGGCACAAGCAACAAAAGAAAGAGGTCAATTAGACCCCACATAAAAATCAAAACCCTTTGTTTAGAGGACATTTCTCAGAGAGAGAAAGACAGGCCAGAGAATGGAGGAGGACACGTGTGACTCACACACACAGCAAAGGTCTAGCTTCGGACAAAGAACTTCCACAGGGCAACAGTACAACAGAAGCTGCGAGGCGGATCCGGAAGAGGCGCCTGCTGCCAAGCCTGACAACTTGCTTTTGAAGGAGAGAACAGACTCCCAAAAGTTGTCTTTTGGCCATCACATACGTGCCGCAGCAAGTGTGCCTCTGTCCCCTAAAACTACGCGCAGAAACAATGAACAAAGGAGAGCATGGGAAGTCAGGCAGTTCACGGCTGTAATCCCAGTACTCATCTGGAAGACGAGCGCTAGGGTTGGTGGGGTTGGTGAGGTGGCTTAGCAGGTATCAGCAGGTAAAGACACCTGGTGCCAAGGCTAAGCTTGATCTAGGATTGATATGGTGGAAGTCCAGAATCAGCTCGGCTCTCAAGTTGTTCTCTCTCTCTCTCTCTCTCTCACACACACACACACACACACACACACACATGGTGGGGGGGATTTTAAAATGTTAAAAAAATATATAAATAGGGCAAGTGGGCACGAAGCATCAGTGAGAATGTGGAGAAATTGCACTGCTGTTAGTCACTGTTCTACTGCTGTGAGAGACACCATGACTAAGGCGATTCTTAGCAAAGAAAGCATTTAATTAGGGGCTTGTTTACATCTTCAGAGGGTTAGTCCATGATCGTCGTGGCAGCAAGAAGACGGGCATGGCGCTGGAGCAGCTGAGAGCTTTTTATATCCTGAGCCGCAGGCAGCAAGACTGTGTGTAGTGTGGGCTTTTGAAACCTCAAAACCCACCTCACAGTGACACACCTCCAAGTCCTTCTCAAACGGTTCCACAGTTGGGGACCATGCTTCCCAACACAGGAGCCTATGGGGGTCATTCTCTGTCCTACATCACAGCTGCTAACGGGAGTGTAAGCTAGCATAGCAGCTGTGGAAACCAGAGCTTTAGTCTAAGAGGGTAAAGAAGGTCCAAAAGCAGGGGTAATAGAGACATAACACGTC